AACCTTAGCGGCAAGGGAGTCTGTAGGAAGAAGGAGGGAAAGAAATGTATCTGCCTTTCAATATCTGCAGGACTAAATGAAACAAGGATGCAGGTGGAACACAACTGAACTCTCAACATCCTATCTACTCTCCTCCTCAAATACTCCATATATTTGGTTTAACCACCAATTCCAGAATCAAAGCAAGTCCAGAGTTCTGTGAGTTTTGTCACTACTTTCTGCCACCCCAAAGTCTTAAAGTATAAAACATGTTCTCTTGCCTACAATCTATTTGCATGTACTAGCATCTGCATGACCAAAATAGTCATTGCCAAACAACAGCTGACATGACAACTGTAAAAAAATAAGTAAAACCTAGAAGTCTTACCAACAAAACTTCCAAGAGTAGCAGCTCTTGAATAAGCCTCTAGGCCAGTAGTACAAACTCACTCTGGTGGGACAATGAGGCTCATTCTCTGTAAAAGCAACCTAGACTAGTTAAAGTCTGTCATAAGTTTATCTTCCCAGCTGGGTTGCAATGCTTTCACTCACATGTTCAAGAAGACATCCAATGCAAACTGATTAATATTAGCCATATAATAAAAATACTTGCTTTAAACATTTCAAAGTACAATTTGTAGCTATGCCAATTCATCGGGAAGGCCTAAATACAAAGGCTCAGGAGTGCATATGTCTCGCCAACATCAGCAGAAGGTAAGGGTGACCAGGCAGGGAAACACCAAGCATTACGTTCTCATAGACACTAAGATGCAGACACAGAATTACCTCCGTTGAATAGTTAGCTGAGTTGTAATTTTAAGATGCTAGCCTTAGGAAGAACTTACAGAGCAGGAGTTTACAGTGACACCACTGCCCAATGGCTCCAGCAAGCTACAAAGAATCTCAGAGGAGCTTGAGAAACATACCCAGCCAAGTTCAATGAGAATCCCTGCAGGGTGCTGAGAACCACTGCATGCTCTCCCAGCCAGCTGATGACAGGAGTTTAAGACACTCCCAACCCATGGCATCTCTAGGCCCATCCTCCCTGTGTGACATGCAAGCCTTTGTTTCTGTATGAATACTCAGGACTGTGAAAAGGTGTCAGAAAACGGAGAGGAGAAAGCAAAGCTACTCTGCCGACAGGTGACAGGGTCCATCAGTGAGATCTCTTTATCATCATTCCAGCTCCAGAAATAACCAAGCTTTCAGGGTTTATTCAATCTCTATCCCAAGTAACTGTCTTTATGTTTCAGTACTAGGCTTCACATTGTCATTTCAGAAACAAGACCCAGCACCTTGCACTATGCACCTATTGAAGCTATTTACCAAAAGTCCAAAGTGACATCAAGTGACTTAAGCTCCATGAGAGTACAGTTTCAAGACCGAAAACTTGAATTTAAAAAGAGTTCCATGGTAAAAGTACAGAATTGAAGTAACAGGTCTCTTCAATGCACAACGTCTCCAAGCCCCTTGAGCATCCCTTTCAACCCTAAGAGGGTTGTACTATATAACATTTCCTAAATTCATGTGACCAAGGTATTTTCAGGAGGAAGAACTGAGGATGACATCCAGGCCCTCACATTAGAGCTCAATCGAGCCAGCTCAGGGAATTTTCTTTTTCAATTATTAGGACCAGTGTACCACAGAACCCACTTTAAGGAACACAGAATTCCATCTGCCATGTGTTTAGATGGTACTTGACTATTTCAGATTTGTAAGCTACCCACAACTTAAGGGTAGACCTACTCATTAGAAACCAACAAGTCTCTAGGCAGACTGCCAAGGACAAACTGCTTGATAGCAAAGACTGTTTTCTTCTCCACAGGCCCTTGGCAGTACAGTGCTCTATCCTAGTGGGATCCCAGCACCTACCTTTTGTGCAGAATGCCCCATACCATCTGTCGTGGTAACTTGCACTTCATCTCCAGTATAATCTATACTTTGCACCTGTTTAAGACAAACATTTAGAAACAATGTGAGGGTCAGGATCTTTCCCACTCCCATGGCATGTGTGTGTACTGCTGAGGCTATGCGGACCAGTAAGTGCTGGGCATGCAGCATTCTTGAGTGGTTACAGTTGAACTCAAGAGTTAGTTTATAAACATGTCAGGATAATGGAAAACCTTTTCTTATAGCACAAAGTGAGACAGATCATTTCTGAAACGATGATGATGTCAGCCCATTGGGATGATGAAGTGTTAAGATTAGGTTAGCAAGGTCATGAGCTACTCAAACACTGTATTAGTGAACTGTGCCCTGGCCATTCTGGTTTCCAAACCCTAGGCACTACTTACTGAGTGGATGCTGTGCTTCTCAGGCTACATTTGCACCCTCAAAGCCTTGGGAGACACTGGCTGACTGTCCACACAAACACCTATTCCCTGAGAATCATTCTCAGAGCTACAGATCCTCCCCAAACAAGAAAAAAGCAGAACCTCCCACCGTCCAAACTCACCGGAGATTTGAGGCGAATGTCTAGTCCTTCAGCCAGTTTTTCAATGATAGTGGAGTATCCAGGAGTTAGAAGAGTATGGTCACCAGCAAACTGTGCAAAGAATTCATTATGGTCCCAGGAGCGTGCAGACACCTGGGAAACAATACAACATGTTAGGAATCCATAATGGAAACACACAAGCTGCCCCTGAGGACATCAAAAAGAGCTCCAGGAGGGAAAAGGCACCCAAGGCAGGAGGGCAGAGTACTAATCACAGAAGTGAGGACAACCAAGCAGCCCCAGCGTACACCACTGTCTGAGTAAGGCAAACTGGGGGACACACAGAAAGGCTTACTTTAGAGCAAAAGGTCCAAACGGACATGGAAGCGCATGCCTCTAACTCTAGCACTTGCCCTAAATTCCAGGCCAGATTAGTCTGAGAGTGAGAGTTTGTCTCAAAATAAATACAAGTGGACAGCAGCCGAGGGACAGTATGAGGCTGTCCTCTGGTCTACACATATGCACGTGTATACCACACACGACAAATGCAGGAAGAAGGTTTAAATAATTTGAGAATTGGTACTACTCGTTGATTAAAAAAAAAGAAAAGAAAAAAGTTCATTTTATGCATCAGCTGAAGGGGACTCCTGCAGAGCGAGGCTCCCTCCAGACCCCAGATTAGGCACAAACCACACCCAAACACCTGTTTCACAGAGAGATCCCTTATGAAGCAGGGAAGAAAAGTCAAAGTGGCTGCTTTCTGAGTCAGGCAGAAAAACAGCAGCCAATGACCTTGCAGGTGTCATTCTTATGAAGGGAAGAAGGGGAGGTCTGTGTTATAGAGGGCCAGGATGCGGTGGGAAAGGAGATGGGGACGAAGAAGGGAAAAGGAACAGGGGAAAGGGGCCGGGGTATGTGTCCTGCAGGGACAAAGGACTGTCTCTGCACAGAGGGGAGGCAGATGTGGCACGTGGACAAATGGCGGTTTAAAACGGTAAAAGGGGAACCTCATGTTAGGATGAGGTGTTTAATTTTGATTGGGCAGGTTAATTAGGTGAGCCAGAGGGGGCTTCTGACGGCTGGCCTTCAGTACTTTACGACAGCTGGACCCTGTAATCAGCCTCAGGAGGTGGAAGCGGCCAAGTAAGGGAATAAACCTTGGTGGCTGCCTTTAGGAATGTAATCTAACAGTTTTTAGGAGGGCAGAGGGGGTGGGGGAGGGGCAAGGCCTGCCACAGCCACATGGTCCAGTGGGCCAGTGTCTCTTCATCAGCAACTCTGACAAAGGCAAAATTCTATGGCAGTCAAACTGCGCTTGTTCAACCCCACAGGAAAGTACCCCAAACTTCTCTCAGCATGGGTAGGGGGAGTTCCATAGAGGCCAAGACCCAGCATGCTTGGGGAAAATGGTTCACTTCAAATTGTAATGCAGAATAGCATGGAGGTGGAGGTGTCCTCAAGACTGCTGCTAAGCAGGGTAATGGAGTGTTAGCTTCCCAGCTGGTTAAATGAGTTAGGTAAGCCTGAAACTGACTTCTACATGACAAACAGGACAGAACTGCAATGCTACATTATCTTGGTTTCTTGGAGCAGTGTTTTTAAACAACATGGTTCCACTAAAATGACTCCCAGGGCCACTGCATAGGATTGGGACTGGGGCTTGGGAGAGAGCAGCAAAGGACAAGACCATTGACCCCCCCCTCTCTGGTCCAGGCCAGCATCTCCTCCTTGGAGTGTACAGAGTGAATTTCTTCACAGGCAATATGGAGGCACGGGTCTGTAACCCTATCACCTGGGAGGCTGAGGAATGAGAAGGCTGAGTTCAGGACTGGCTTGGGCTACCGAGCAATACTTACCTTTAAAGTCAAATGAACCACCAGCCAAGTGTGGTGGTGTGTGCCTGTGACCCCGGCAACATGGGAGGTGGTGGCAAGACGCACTGGAGCTACGTAACAAGTTCAAACCCAGCCTGGGTTACAAAAGCGCCCAGGAAGATGGCTCTCTGGGTGAAAGTGCTCACTGCATAAACCTGTGACCTGAGTTTGACTGTCAGAGCTTACAGCGCAGACAGAGAACCAGATCTGGAAGGCTGGGGTCTAACCAATATATGTATGCAGTGGCCCTCCAGCCACTGGAAAGACACACACGCGCGCGCGCGCGCGCACACACACACACACACACACACACACGGGGGAGCGGGGGGATACAAGGCTGGCTGACAGCAAGCCTCACAGATCCTCCTGTCTCTGCCTCCTCAGCACTGAGATCAGAAGCCATGCCACCACCTCTGGTGCTCTCCCGGGGACTGGGGATCCAAACTCAGACCCACATGCTGATGCAGCAGCACTGTCCTGGATGAGCCGGCTCCCCCAGCTCATGCCAGAGTATTTCAGGCCCCTTGGCTCACCTGGTGCAGGCTGCTGCCACAGGCGTACTCCAGGTTACTCAGATGGAACTGTAACACCTGGCCCTCCAGCTCGCTGAACTGGATGCCAGACTCCTTCACAAAAGCTCGGTAGATCTCCTCTATCTTCTCTGTGGCAGGAATGGATCAGAGCAAAACAATCAGTTGAGAAGCAATTTCCTGTCTAATTCCCGATCCTTCTTTCCCCAACAGAGCCCAAAACTTCCAGTCTTCCTAAGCAAACTCAGGAATAAGTAATAAGCAATAAACTTGATGGGGCTGAGTCCTCCGCAAGCAAATGCTTAATCTTAATGGAAACAAAGCTAGAAGCCGGACATTAAAACATGTTAAGTTCCTGCTTAGTGGAGAAACGGTTTCCTCTCTGCTCAAGATGTGGCAAAAAGTCTCCTTAAATGTGCACAGACAGGATTGCCATGCCCTTCTGCTCTGACTGCTGTGGCTTGAGGTTCCGCCCTCTCCCCTTGCTAATGAAAATATGGCTGCAGTCTCCTGGGGCCTCTGGCTGTGTCAGCCATCTTCCTCAACACCGCTAATGAATTCCTGGTGCCACACACAATTAAGTTTCAAAAGCTGACTGAGCAGGGTGGCCACCTGCTGGCTTCGCCCAAGTAGCAACTACGACCTACCTACCCGTTTTGAGGCTTGGCCACACAGCTCTTAAATCCTCTCGGGGTAAATCCTAGTCCTGCTGGACTTGCTTTTCCTGCTGTCTAGTTAAGCACACCCTCCAGTGAGTACAGTCTGGTGTTATCCAGCGGCTAACTCCCTCCTCAGGGCTGTGTGCAGGCGTGTGCTTTAATTCCAGCACTAGCTATCCCATTCAACTGGAATTTTATCGAGACACATGCCTGTGAAATGGTTCCGATTGGCTTAACTGGACAATCACAGCGGGGTGCACACTTGGTGGCAGAGGGCTCTGGCTCCTGCCTAATTCCAAGCATCTTAGCACACGTTGGTAACTTCAGTGACGATGACGACGATCACCCCCACAAGTCCCAGACTCCAGGTTTCTATGAAGGGCTACGCACCTATCTGACTAGAACCACTGCTGAGCATCTGTTGTTTTGTTTTCAGAGCTGGAGAATGGACTCAGCACCTTAGACGGGGTAGGCAAATGGTCTCCTACTAAGACTGGTCCGAGCTCTTGACTTTCTGAGACAAGGTTTGTATGTATTAACAGTATGGAGCTGCGTGTGCGTGCGTGCGTGCGTGCGTGCGTGTGTAACTCTAGATCTGACTCAGCCTCAACTCCAAGTTCTCACTGAAATGTCATAATTCTTAACTAATTTGTCGTGTTGAGATAGCCAGGACCCCCGGCTTGTGCCAGGTTTCTGCCCTGGGTCTTGAGCTCTCTGTCACTTTTGGAGTCCTTTGTAGCAGCCACACTCCTGCCTGCTGCAGTCTCCACATTCCCGTCACTTTGTGAAAAGGGGAGAAAACCTTCGTTACAGCCCAGCATGGAATTAAGCATAAGAAGACCAAGAGGGGCTTTAACCTATATTTTTTTTTTTTTTTTTTTTTTTTTTTTTTTTTTTTTTTTTTTTGGGATAAAGCTTCTCTGTGTAGTCTTGGTGTAGCAAAATGGGCATTGGTAGCCCAGGCTGGCCTCGAACTCACAGAGATCCGCCTGGCTCTGCCTCCCGAGTGCTGGGATTAAAGGCGTGCGCCACCACCGCCCGGCTTGTTTGTTTTTTTTAACTCCATGTTAGGGCTGGACAAATGACTTCGTATGGTGCTCTTGCAGAGGATCCATGTTCACTTTCCAGCATCCACCTTGGG